CAGCAGGAAAATGCAGTGGAAGCATCAGAAAATAAAGGACAGAGTAAGAAAGAAGCCAGTTACACACAGAATACCAAAAGTACATAGCATATCACAAAATAATACTTAAGGGATAAATCAAAACCAAAGGCAAAAAAATCTAGCATATCCTCCAGCACACATACTTTAGATGTTCCACTCTAAGAGGTAAGCACTAGAGGACAAAGACATAAGAGAGATTTCGTGCCTTGGAAGAAGAAATTCCTTCCTCAGGCTGTGCTGTGAACACAACTTAACCTAAAATCAGAGAAGAAAAACATTTTCTATTGTAACTGTAGCTTTTGCATATGCCCCCTTCACAACTATACACCCTTTGAACCTTAAAGAATAAAAATAGAACACATTACGTCATGCGGCCTGAATCATTTCCTCTTTCTACATTTCCTTAAAAGCCTTAAAATAACAGGACAAAGTCTGGTTCCTTCAGTGCTTCCACATTTGTATAATTTAGCCTCACGTTCAAATCCACAAAACCAGACCACATTTTTATCGTTGCATTTCTGGTTTTTAATGCTGTGTTTGCTCTTTTCTATTTTATTAATCAATTAGGCTAAAACCAGAACATGAAGCATTTTTACCAAAGCCAGAGAAAAACGCAAGCATTTTTAGGACTTCCCTCAGAAGTGTGCAGTCAGTAGCTAGGAAATGCTGCATAGCTGAATACTCAACTAACACCTCTGGCAATTTTCCCCTAGATGAATCAAACAAGGTACAGTATGCATTGATTGGGAGCCTTATATGCTACAGAGAATATCCATCCATCTGTAATTCTAACAACCATTTGAGAACCATGCTTTCCTTTTCTCAAGCTCAACTCAGAAATGTATTTTGCCCCAAAATATTTTCTGAAATACAAAATGAATTCTGTTTTCTCATTTAAATGGTTGAATCACATCACACTTAGTGATGCATTAAAAGAGGTATCATTCACTAACACCTGCGCAGTTTCTGTAAGGGACTTCTTTTATGGCTAGGTAGTGACTCATTGTTTCTATTTATTTACTCTAAATCGATTTTTAATATATGATATTAAAAGTATAATCTTATGAGATAGTGTTACAATACTGTATCACTAAAAATCCCTCTCTTTGGAGAGGAGATAATACAGGTATATGAATTAATTTTCCCCTCCTTATTCTGGGCAAAACAATGGCTACATTATATTGCCTTGTGAAACAAAATGCTTATTTTAATTTGTAACAGTCACTGTAACTTATATGTATTAAATTGTGTTGTGGATTTCTAAAAAAATATTGTATGCAGAAAAAAAGAAGTTTAGGAGAGAAAACATGTAGGATAACTTCTATTTCACCCTCTTTAGCAGCTATAGCAATACAAGCTTCCAACCTGGCTGTTTTTCGTGGCTTGCCGTGCTAATCATGTTCCTGGCAATTACGAGGTGAAAAATCTATGTTTCCTGCTTTTCATGCCAATTTGGACTCACATTTTGCTAATATTTCTCAAATAAAAAGATTGGAAGGAGTTTGTAATGAAAAACTATGAGGTCATGCGAAAAAAAAAAGAAAAGAAAAAAAAGGAATCCTAGAAACAAAAACATCACAGTACACAAACACCAGTGATGTGCTGAAAAGACTGGTTTTGCTGTGGAAGAAAAGGAGCAAGTTGCTGAAAAACTGTTATAATATCAATGTGAATATTGCTGCTTTTTTTTTTTCCTCGAAACATGGGAGGGAGAAAATCTTAATTTAAATTTTTAAATTAAATTTTTTAATTTAAACCATTTAAACCAAAAGCTCCCTAACTACAGTCCACAATGAACTAGCTAGTTGCTACTTCTCACTTGCCGTTGCTTAACTGCATTAGCAAACGACAACTTAAAAACAAACTTTTCCTAATCAGGATGGATTTCCTTTGTCAGCAATTTGCCTACATGGAATTGCATAATGAGAAATCCATATAATAATGTCAGATATCACAAATGAGATAGGAATTGCTCTCTGAGCCAACTGTTAGTGTAAGAGACAATCTATCGGCTCACAAGGCTTAAGAGTACTTTGTTTAGGTAAATATTATTCTCATCTCCCAGCATAAAAGCTTTTAGAAGTTTTTTTTCTGTGAAACTAATATAAGAGAGCTATGCTTTTTCACAATATTCAAGCCCCTATATCAACTTAAGATAGAAAGAATGATGAAGCAAATATTAAAAGTAAACATTTTATATATTTTT